AGGGCTGGACATCCGACTGAATTTCCCAGTGAGTCTGGAAAACACTGATGCAGTGCCTGTCTTGGATTGCTTTGAAAAACCCAGTCATGTATTTGCATTCTTTGGGACCAGGTGAATCTGTGCCTGTGACTGTTTCAATTTATCTTTAAAAATAACCAAGAGGACAATTTCAACATTTCTGAAATTCTCTCTGAGGACTATCAGTACTTAAATTATATGATCTTACATGTTAGAATCATGATGATTTCTCTTTTTCAGCTTCATGAAGGCTATTTTTTGGCTTTCAGAATTTCTCTGGAAATATGTGTTGTTCACTTTCTAGATTGCTGACAAGTGCTATTTTAACTATTCTTGATGGAATTTGCATTGCATGTGTACATTTTGTAGTACGTTCTCTCAATGTGTCTGATAGGTTCAGAGTATTGACTATTCTGGTGAAGAAGTGCAGATCACTACTGCAGATGGAACAGTGTGGACAACACAAAAGGTACCAAGTATACCTCAAGACTAAGCATTTTAGAGAACACACAGTACATGTCCTTTTTTCATTTTCTTTCTCAGAATACTATTTAGTCCATTTTCTCCCCATGCAAAGATGAATACTCATGTATTTTAGTGGCCTTTATTTGGGTGTCCTAGAGCCTAATTTTTGGTGAGCATGCTTGAGATTTGAGTATGAATTGATTTGAAAAACTAAGGACTACTAAGTGAAGCAAATATATTTTTATCCAGTCTTTGAAGTGACATTTATGTTTTCTAGTTCCATTCCCTGCTCAGCTTTACCCCCCTTAGCATGTGTATCATGTTAAAATTTCCAGGATTTGACAACCCCTACTTCTCAGTCTCTCTTATTCTTTGTATACCCATCTTCTTCATGCTGAGTAATTTAGCTTTCAGTAATTTTTAAAATGATACGTAAACTTGATAAAGACTGGATTGACATCAACGGTGTTACTAAGTGTATTTTAAAGAGAAGGAATCTCTGAAGGAATTCAAACTAAACCAAATCACTGACTATCTCTCATTTCAAACAAAAGACAGTTTGGTTAATCTGAGAGCCATTGACTATCATTTACTGAAGTACTGGTAGCATGGTTAGCCACTGTGGTACAAGCAGTTCATCAGACTGTGACTTAAGATCAGTGAACTGTGGGATCTGTTCTCACCTGAATGTAAGGCATGTGTTTCCCATTAATGGGAACTAAAACGAGACATTAATCTAGAAATGTCTGGTGCATTATTATGCTGCATCCTACTAGCATAATCCAAGTCTTACTAGCATGATCCACAGTTAGGAGGATGCTGTGAGGCTTAAGTGCTGTATTCATATCTTGGTACTGTTGTGATTGTAGCTATTTCTTTCAGGTACTAGTGACTGTACCACTGGCCCTTCTTCAGAAAAATGCCATTCAGTTTAATCCTCCACTGTCAGAAAAAAAAATTAAAGCCATTAATAGTTTGGGAGCGGGAGTCATTGAGAAAGTAAGTGATTTCATATTACCTTTAATTTTCTTTTTATAGAAACATTGGCTGTTTTGTCCCTGTTGCTTTTGCAGTGTATTTATCAGGGTTTATGATGCATAAACATGTTTTACTTGTATACACTAGCCCAGGAGAGCAAAACCTTATTGGGGATCACATGTATTTCTGTTCCTTAGATTTCACAGCTTAATGGTGTTTTTAAAGAAACTGTTCACAGAAGAATTTCATGGCTTAAATATTTAGTTATTAATTTTGATTCATGATGGTCTTGGATCTTTCAGAATTCCAATAATGTCTTTATTTCAGGTCATTTTAACCTAGTAAGTTCATAAAGTATTTATGAAGAATACTGAAAGTTGTGTGTTGGATCAGTGTAAAATCTCCTACCCTTTCCCAATACAAAAACACAGCCTCTCCTGAAAGGCTCCCCAGTAAGATGTGTGCTTAGAACAAAACAGTAACAAAGTAATGCCAGAAACAGGATTATGACAATGTTGAAATTTAAAGACAAGATTAAGAAACTCCAAGTACAGGATGCTGCTTATTTATTTCAAAGAAATCTGCTGAATTTCTTGAGCATTTTACACAATTACTTCCATTGGGGATTTGATATTCTGTGCATTTGCAATTTATGACACCAGCATTTTTTTTCTTTGCCTATCCCCCTTGGAGGACAGGTTTGTATATTGTCTGTTGAGACCCACTCATAGGAAGAGCTGTATCTACATGAGTGGAAACAGGAAAATGTTAGAAGAACATATACCATATCTTGTTATGAGATGTGTGGTATGAAATGCTTAAATACCATTTTCCTATATCTTTCTAGATTGCCTTGCAGTTTCCATATAGATTTTGGGACAGTAAAATTCAAGGAGCTGATTTTTTTGGTCATGTTCCACCCAATTCTAGCCAACGTGGGCTCTTTAGTGTCTTCTATGACATGGATCCAGAGGTATGATATATGCCAACTGTGTTTTCTCTTGGCCCTTCATAAATTCAGTTTGAAATCTAGGTGCAATAATTACTAAACAACAATTTTTTTCTTCTTCCCACCCTTCTGCCCACACATCTACAACTATTAAAAGCAGTGGAAGCAGTGTTATTTATTTAGATAAAGCTCATCAATATTTTGTTGTAATAAATAGGAATGTTTTCTGTTGTTCAGATACAGACTAGTATACAAGCAAGTACATTCTCAATCTCTACTGAAGGCAAGTCTGTAATACTTTACTATAAACCTGCTAATGTGGGAAAAAGGCTACTAGTCACTTCCAGTTTAGGACTCTGTACCCTTATTAAATCAGCTGAAAATCCAGTTAAAAAGATCATGCTGACTTACTAATGCTTACTGGCTTGCAGTGGTCTGAAGAACTATTTGGAATAGCAGAAGGAAAGACAAAGACCAAGTTCTGCATGAAACTGAGATCTGTAGAGTCAGTTTCATACTCATGAATTTCAAAGCAAATTGAAACCAGTGGGTTGACATCATGTTTCTCTTCCCTCCCAGTTCCAAGCAGATACATTAGACATTTATGTTGTACCTCTTCATACTTTTACAACAGCTGCTGCTTACTACTTGGCAGCAATTAAAAGGCCATTTTGTAACCTGATGTCTTACTCCAAAAGGAAACCATCCTGTGACGTTTGTGCTTTGTTACTGTCTGATCTGTGCCTGTATACAAATTTGCTTAAATGAGTTCTCTCCAGTTCTCTTAAGCTCATGCTACAAGAGGTTCAGTGTGCTGGTGCTGTCCAGAGATCCTACATATAAGGCTTAATTTGCTTGATAGCTATTCTCTACTAGTTACCAAAGTTAGGAATAGAAGAATTATTGCCTTACATAAACAAGAGAGGCAGAGTGCTTTAAAGGTACTCCGAACCTGTGTGCTCTTCCCTACTCACCACTTCACCTCTAAAACTTCTGCATGGTAGCAGATGTCATGAAGTGGAAGGAAATACCAGTAGACGTGACCTTTCATTTCTTGATCCAAAATCTGCTGGTAAGAACCGAGTATTGGTCTAATCAAAACCACATCTAACTAGTATTTAAATAGTCTCTCTCTGTCACCATATTTTGGAAATGGAGTACAGCTAAGGTGAAAGCTTGGCACAAAGCTGAAGCTTAAGAGGGTGCACAAAGACTAACACTATCAATGTTATTTTTTTGGGGTACAGCCTTCAAGTAGGTAGATAGGAAGTTTTCAGTGAATTCAGCAAGTAGTAAAAGGGGCTGACTGTACCAGATCTGTGAAGAAGACATCAGAAGATGTGGTAATTTGAGCATAATTATTGTAGAATATGCACCCTTTGTTCCAAGGAATCAAACCCACTTTTCTCTAGAACAACAGTTGCTTTGCAGCTGAAAATATCTTTGCAATACCAGTTAAAATAGACTGTTTATGAAATACTTAATAAGGTCTTGTTTTTAGGGCAAAGAAAGCATTTTAATGTCCGTGGTCACCGGAGATGCTGTGACAACCATTAAGAATTTAGATGACCAACAAGTACTGCAACAGTGTATGACTGTACTCCGAGAACTGTTTAAGGAGCAGGTAAGAATCTCTTTTATTATGAGATTAATTAATTTGTCACCAGAATAAAGCTTTCAAATGTAGTACTTCATGATGTATAGGCAGACCTTTGACATTTAAAACTATTTTTCTTTCTTTATCAGTTTCAGGGAATAGGTTTTCTTTGAGACATTCTAAAAAACACAATATTTGGTCTCTTGTGTGAAAAATGTATATTGAAATATCTTAGATCTCTCTGAAGGACAGTAGTATGTAACTGAAAATAGAATGATCTATTTTGAACTATCATCCTTTAAATGCTATCATTTAAAATGAAACTATCATCCTTTAAAATGCTTTTAAAAAGCAAAATTAATTAAAAGCAGTACTTTAGGCAAGTAACACAAAACACACTTCTTACTTAGTTGTCACTTTTTTTCTGGTCATCACCACTTCTAACATGTGATAAGATCTTTAAGCTAGATTAATTTGATTGATTTCTGCCTTCTGCCATGCCAAGGCAACTGAAATTACAACACCCCCAAACCAATCCAATCTATTTCTCTTCTACTAACTAACAACCCTTTCTCAGCTGTCTTGGAATGGAGCTACAGGCAAAATGATCTAGCAAGGGCCCTACATCCTGAATGCGAAAAAACACACTAGATAAAAATTTCTACTTTTTTTCCTTCCCCCAGATCATCATTAGGATAAAAACTAATAGGAAAATCAGGGAAATCTAGGGCAAGCAAAACACTCTCACTTAGCAATGTTATTTGCATTCCACTCTAGAGACAATAATGCCTCAATTAATTTACTTAGAACAGTTAGATCCTCAGGAATGATTGTGTTCAGAGCTATCTCTCTGAAGTTTTACTGATGGTTCAAATGTTAGGATTAATGATCTTTGAAGAAGTTCAATATCTGAAAACTCAGCTATTCCTAGAAACAAATCCTTGGTAATGGCTGTATTGTTACTAGAATCTCATGCAGTGGAAGTTCACATACCTGTATCTTGATCTCATGAAAATGCAGCAAATGGGTCTTTGGTTTCAGTGCTGCTCTGGTCCCGAAGAGTGTTTTTCATGGCTGTCTCGATGGCTTACATTAGTTGTGAACTTCAGTCACCTGAGGATGATGCAGAGGGATTTTTCAAAGACAAAATAGCTTCAGGGGTGTACCAGAGCTACTTCTGGGACATCCATACAACTTGTCATATTTAGCTGGTCCTTGTTTTGATCGCTTGAGTTTCTCACGTGCTGCCTGAATGGAATTTATCTGTCGATACCAGACCTTGTGCAAGAGGCAAGCAGAGCTGCTTCTGTTTACTTGTCATGAGCTCCTCCAAAGTCAGACACAGCAGAAATTGACTAAGCCTTCATACAAGTGTTATTCAGGCTCTTTTTGGTAGAAATCTGTGGAATTTGCATGCTGCAATGTGACAAAGAATACACAGTATTACTTGTTGCGGCTCAGCCAGACCCTGACTTCCTGGTTTTTGTTTTCTCCCTGAACCTAGTTTTCAAGACAGCTCATTTTCTGATCTTAGATAAATCATCTTATTGATCCATTGGAATAAAATTATCTCCAGAATGAAAATTTAATTTTGAGATTTAACAAGCTAGATCTAACAAGCATTATGCCTAACCAAGACAAAAATTGCTTACATTATACATATGTACATATTGAACAATATCAGTATTGTATTTGTTTACAAGAGCATGTGAATAAGAATTTTAAGGGGATTTTTTTTTTCTTGTGTACTTCTAGGTGTATTACAATATGCAGATCTGTTGCATTCAGAATAGTGCAGCTGTGAAGTTTCAGGCATCAGGCGAGTCTAGCAAACAAAATTATTTTTGTGGTTAGTATTATAATTAAAAAAAGGAATTTAATTCTGGAATGTGATCTAATCTGTGTCTTAATAATACTAAATACTCCAAAGATTACTAGAAACTGTTTGAAAAAAAGCTGTGCAATTCGGAACTTTTCTTTGCAGTGCTTAACTTCTCTCTTGGTTATGCAGGAAGTTCCTGACCCAGTGAAGTTTTTTGTTACTCGATGGAGCAATGACCCTTGGCTGCAGATGGCGTACAGCTTTGTGAAAACCGGGGGCAGTGGTGAAGCTTATGACATGATCGCTGAAGACATACAAGGAAAAGTTTTTTTTGCTGGTGAGGTAAATATCTTTGTTACTGGGAGCAGTTTCTTATGGAAGATCATCTCTTGCTACCCAACACCATTAATGTAGAGGTAGTATATAAATATTGTTATATAAATATGCTAATGATTCTTGACACAGAACCCTCTCTATTGATATCATTACTGGGCATGGGAAGTCTGCCAAATATTTTAGGTTAGGAGTAAAATGAATTTTTAGTCAAAATGTCTGTTACTCCACTTGGGGCTGACATAACAAATGCACCATGGAGGTGTAGGGTGCATTCTGTACTGGGGCAGAACTTAACCTTCCCCACTAAAGTGCACATAACAGAACAGACTGCTGCTTTTGTAGCTGACTTGCTTGCAAGTTTTGAAGTTGCTAAAAATCTTGGGTGTTTCCTTTAATGTTCTTTCTAAGGAGTTTTCCATGGCTTTTAAAAATGTAGGTATATGCTTAAGGAAAACAAAACTGATTTTATAAACTAAAATTTTGTACTGTCAATTTTAGAAACAACTGACTTTTTTTCTTTCTCTGCTTTTTGGTTTTGTTTTTTTTGTTTGTTCTTTTTTGCTACAGGCCACAAATCGGCACTTTCCTCAGACCGTTACAGGAGCTTACTTGAGTGGAGTTCGAGAAGCCAGCAAAATAGCAGCATTTTGAGTACTGAAATTTTGTGTTTATAGATATATTTTTAATTGATTTCTGTGGGTAAAACTATCTTCAAGTTTCCTATTGCTGCCTTTTTCCTATGTGGTACTTGAATAGTATATGGTACCTGAAGATAAAGTCTTCATTTTCCTTTTCCTCTTTCTCCCCCACCCCATTTTTAGGCCCTGATGATACATATTGTTGGGGGCTTTTTTCCAGCTAAGCTATTACTAGCAGGAGTGACATTGGAATCATCGGCCACAGCTTAACTAAGAGAGTCTTTTGTCAAGAGTCTTCTTCTGTATGGCTCAAGTCATGCTATTGTGAACCTTCATTTCAGAAGGTCAGATTAAAACAAGACTAAGTTAACACATAGCATTAAAAATGCTGGCAGTTAGTAATGATATGGGAATTTTCCACTAACTGTGCTTCTCAGGTTGATTATGCTCACAGGAGTTCAAACGGGCTTCCAAGAGCCTGAATAGCCTAGAAAAAAAAATCTAGGATTAATGTAGGAAGGAATTCAACTATCACTTTTCCCACCTGCAATCAGTAACCTTTTCTATAATATTTTTTCATATTCTTAGGACCCACTAAGCGGGCTTTGGGATATGAAGTTTGTTCCTTTAAATAAGAGAGCTGGAACAGTTTACAGTGCAATCATAGAAAGGTTATTGTAGCTGATCAAACTTGAAAAATTAACTTCTAGCTTACTTTTAAAAACTTTGAAATATATTACAATAATAGGCTAAGAGTTTAGATTTGCTCATTGCTTCTGTAGAAACAGGATAGCTTAAAAATACCATATTGCTGTGATTATTTTGAAAAGAAACTTCCAGATTCATTTGGACTGAATAGAGGAAGTATCTGCTGATTTGACTGTACAGTGGGGGGTGCAGGACTGTACATTCCTAATAGCTCATTGAAGTTTTACATTAAAAAATAAGTTGAAGATGAATGAGGAAAAATATTAATATTCTTATGAAGGGCTGAAACAAGGTGGCTTGCACTTTGACTTGAAGTTTATTTTTTTTTCTTTTATTATGAAAGTATTATTAAAAACAACTTGAAAGAGTAATTCAGTAACAGCTAGACATCTATCTAGTAGCCTTTTCATGGGACAGAGAGGAAAATATTTTTCAGCAGAAATAAGAGAGATGTAACTGGGATACCTATTGTAATACTGTTCCACTATATTGGTATTAATGAAAAAAATTAAAGTCCACTTTTAGATCTCTTCTCTGTAACTTGGCTGCGTAGATGTCGTGATTTCTGAAATGAACATAAGCGCTCACTCTGTCCTGCCCCATTCTCATGCATTTTCTCTTCTATTAATCCTTCATCTAAGAATGATACAGTGCTTATTTCCTTAAAGCTGCATCCTTGGAAATAAACAACAGGCAACCTTAAGAAAAATCATAGGATATTAAGGGGTTAGAATGGACCTTAACAATCATCTAGACCCAATGCCGCTGCCACGGCCAGGGACACCTCACGCTAGACCAGGTTGCTCAAGGCCTTGTTCAGCCTGGCTTTGAACACCAGCCAGGTCCTTCTGAATAAATGCAATTCTTCTTTTCAAATATGTAGTATTTTGTTTTTAGAGTAGGTGTGATATTGTTAAAACCCTTTATTTAATCTCTAATTTACAAGGTGAAGATGTTTATATAACTAGATGTTTTTCAGATATATATTCTGTTCTGCTTCTTAAAGCTGAGTTGTATGGACTAATAGGAAGAGTGTAACTGTTCATAATTTTCCTCTACATAAATACTGGTATGTAGAGTTTTAAAGTACTTCCAATTATTAAATTGCAATTTGAAGGCTGCAAGAAACAAGACAAAGACTTCTGATGATAAAAAACAATCAGGATATCAAATTTTGCTTTTGGCAGTCATTTGCACTTTGTTAATTTCATATATTACAGGCCAACTTACGGCATAACTAGCAAAGATTGAGATCTATGTATGTTTGTTTCAGTTCCAACTTTCTTTCCCACTTTATCATGTATGACAAATTATTAGGAGAGGAGCTTCTGGTGGTGGGAAAAAAAAGCTAATTACTACAAGCCCAAAACCTTATCTTCAATGGCTGCTTCAGCTACTCTTGCTTAAAGACTTCAGTTAGCTTAGTAACAGATACAAACATGTCACATTTTAGATAGGAATGGTCTGGAAAGTTAAGCTCAGCATCCATTTCTCCAGTCCAAAGTTTGTATGAACATGCTTGATGTCGTTCTGTTAATTTGTACTTGGGGTTTTCAAGTTGGCTACATCTTTGCAGCTAGATAAATGCTGTATTCGAGAGAAGGGAGATGGACGTGAAGAAATACTATCACATTTGGCTTTAGATGATGCACGCTTACAGCATTAGAAAAACTGATAACAAATGGTAAATTTACTAATGGCCTAGTCTACTAATTATTTGTATATTGTTTTGGTGCCAGGGCACTTAAAACTGTTTTGTGCTGCACTGAAGTTCGAGGAGTAAATAAGTATGTTCCATTTTAATTTACATTCATTTGAAATATGTAAGAACATCAGGCTGGTTCTGAGACTTCATTCTTTAATGTTGCCCAAATTTTTTTTAATATCTATGTTAAAATTTATTTCAAGCGTGTACGTATTTTTTATTTTGTGTTTAATTTAATCCCTCAAATAAAGAACTGGGGAATGTTTTCTTTGAGTAGGTTTGTTGAAATGTTATTAAAAAGATTTGAATGCAAAGCATGATCTGTTACACTTCAGTTCTTCTGTGTGACTATGTTATGGCAGCAGAATAAAACTGGAAATTATCCATGGGATACCCCTGTTGTGCTTTTTTTTTTTTTTTTTTTTTTCCTTTAAATGTAACTAGTGGCTAAGCCTACTTTTTTATTACATTTTATATTAAGATTTCATTTTGGTATATTCTTACAGCCAGACACCTCCTCAGAAGTGCTGCGTTACAGCCTTCTTTGAGCTCTAAGTCCTAACAGCTATTCTTTGGACGATATTGTAGTCACTGTCCTTTGCCTCAAAGTTTTATACAGCTACTCATAAGCTTGTGTCAGATTATTTTCCTTAGGCCAGAGGAAATTTAAGCTAGTAGTAATTGAGAAGTATGGCCCTTAATTTTCAAGCATTACCAAATAACCATTTAATGCTTTTTATGGAGTAAGGGTAGTCTGAACACTTTGCAGGGTCATGGTCCTGAAAGGTTCCTACTAGCACAGACCGCTATAAGCATGTGCAAGCCTGACTACACACTCAAAATTTTTAAAATACAAACTATGACAAATTCTAGTAACAATTATCTACATTGTTCTTCATGAAAGGGATGTCGCGTGTTCATTTAGTCTAAGTCTGACTGCAGCTGCCTTAAGAGAAAAATATCTTACTGCTTTGCAAGTTTATTTCACCCACATGTAGGTCTGAACTAGTGAAAGCATTACTGGGGGGCAAGATTCACTGCTTTCCCCTAACCCTGTCATACTTGATTAGCAGTTCAAGGTTTGTACCCTGAAGATTGTTCTCCAAATGCCAACTCATTACACCCGATGCTGCTTTTGAAAAAAAATACCTTCAGACTAAGAAAAACAAGCTTTAGAATAGAAATTAAATGCTGTTTTTTAACATAATGTACAAATCAGCAGATTACATCATATTCCCCTAAAAATTACAGTCCTGCAAAAAAACCATAGAGTATGTTTTTCCTTTTGGCCCAGTTGTCTAACACTTAGATCAAAAATAAGTGAAATAGTGCAGTCCAGTGAATGAGGTCAGGTGAAAGGGCAGAGCAAGTTACATCACACTGCCATCCTCTTACACCCAGAAACTGGAGATCATCTGGTACCAAAGCTGCTACTTGGAACAGGGCCAACATGGAGCTGGTTACTTGGGCCTCTGCCAGGCTGATGTCCAAACATCTCCACCAATGAGGATTCCACTGCTCCTCCAGGCCCCATTTCTGTGACCACCCACATGGTGAAGTTTCTTCCCTAACAAATAACTACAGTGTCCCTGGTGGCAACTTGTGCTTGTTGCCTCCCATCGTCTCCCTGTGCACCTCCAAGCAGAGCCTGGCCCTGCCTTCCCCATACTGTTCCATTTGGGAGTTGCAGCCTGCAGGATGATCCCCCTTCATTTGTCTCTTCTGCAGGCTGAACGAGCCCAGCTTTCTCTGCCTTCCCTCCTCCACCCTGTGCTCCAGCCCCCTCACCCATCTTGGTGCCCCTCCACTGGACTTGCTCCATGATGCCCATGCTTGCCTTGCTCCAGGGAGCTCACAGCTGGACCCTGCTGCCAAGGCCAGCTCACAGGTGCAGAACAGGGTGCCAGTCACTTCCCTGAGCCACCAGCCCCACACTTGCTGCAAGAGCCCTGAGCACTGTCAGTGTTCCTTATCAGGAGTGCCCATTGCTGAATGGCCTCCGTGAGCTGTCTGCAAGAACCATCTGCCCCTGCCCAGGCCCTTTTTGGCAAATGTGCTTGGCAAGACAACCCTGTTCCAACCCCCACTGTTCAGCAGATACTCTGTCCCAGAAAGAAGGATGCTGCTTCTGCTTTTGGTAACCTGTATGAAGTGCCTGTCAGGCCCTTTCTTCTGCAGGCCAGGAATAAACCTTTAGACCTGTAATTTCCAGCATCTTGCTTTAATAAATACTTCTGAATCCAAAGGCAGGAGAAACATTTCTTTGCAGAAGGAAAGCAACACATTTGTCAGCATTCAAGATGTTTCTTTTCTCAGCTACCAGAATATTGATTTTACTGAATTTCTTACTGGAAGTTTTTAGAGAGTGGTCTGGTATCTTACAGATTTTTCCATTCTTCTCCCTAAATAAAAACCACTAGAAGTAATTTCAGGGATGTTTTCATCTAGTCCAGTTTAAGCTACTGTATTATAATCAACTTTCGGATCTGGAAACCAGGAAAATTAGATCTGCCTAAGTGGCCATGAGCCACCCTCTCTTTGAAACAGAAGAGCTAATAATAAACTTTACTTGAATCACTATGCTGACAGCCAGGGGCTTTATTTCTCCCGATTAAGTACTGGCCTCCAAAAGGGTTATTTTCAAGTACAGTTTAGCAGTGGCTAATATAAACTGAGACAATTTTTAGATCTTGCTTTGTCATGTGCCTTGTAACAGGATAACATAGAAAGACCACAGACCCTATAAATAGTCTGCTCAGGTCCAAGAAGGCTGTTAGTCTAGAGCTTTTGGAAAAAAGTGAGATGGAATTTACAGCTGTGTCTTTGTAATTCCATCTTGGTTAGACATGCCTGACCACTATACCATGGGTTACCACATAACTCTAAATGCATGTGACCTCTTTTCACTCCAAACTGCTGATCTCATTCCCATCCAGCCCTCTCCTTCTTCCTTCTCCTACAGGCCTCATACACTCTTGCCACAAGTGCTCATAAAAACAGCTGTTTACACCTGCAAATCATTCAGACTAACTTGTGGTTTTGCTAGTCACCAATCAAAATACTGAATACCAAAAGCCTAACTAAAAAGAGGAACCAACACACTGGATTGTAGGAATTATGCTGGAAGTAATCAAAGCAAGATGGTTAGGACTATTTAGAGTACAATGGTCAGGGCATTACCTTAAGCATCTGGAAGGTACATGCCTCAACAATTTATTCAGTTATCTTTTATCCAGTTAACTCATTTCTACTTTTATGAGACTCTGTGAACAGAATTTAGATCCTTGATCAGATGTGCTTCTAATCCAACAGCACCAGGATAAGCAGGATATTTTATTTACCTTTTAGTGCTATCTTGTAGCCTTCCTCCCAATTGCAGAAAGAACTGGAATCCTGTATCAGCTGCAGCCAGACTGGTATAGATTAGCAAGGAAACAGGCAGTCCTCTTCTCCATTGAGGACTAACACTGAGTTGTTAAGAGATTTAAACAAAGCATTTGAAGAATGTCAAGTTCACTTCCATTCCATCTGTGCAATTCCAAAGTGGCAACTAATGCATATATACAATAGATAGAAGTATGCTATCCTTTTCTAGGTTTTCATTAGAATTTAAACTATTAAAAAAATATTTATACTTTGGAGTTGTGAATTGTAAAAACACTTCCCGACCCATATAATTAAAACTGGCTAGTACATTTACATAAAAATCAAAAGGCAGTTCAAGTATTTGTAAAACATCAAAACTTAATACAAGTAACTTTCTGCTTTTAAGACTTGGAAACTTTCAATGTTTTAAATTGCAATTAAAACGTGTTCTTTCTGCTGAGACAGTTAAAGACAAAAACCCACAAAAAATCAAAACAAAACACAAATAAACCTTAAAGACATAAAAACCTGGTGCAAGGACATTTCAGCAATAGTGTCTTCCAAAGTAGAGAAGCCAATATTTTCTAGCAGATGAGATGAAAGACAAACAACCATATCCCTGTATAGTTTTTTTTACTATACATGTAAGCAAATGTTAGATTAAAACTGAGTTACATTTTTGTGAAAGACATTTATTGAATACAAAAAATCCCCATTACATTCAGCCTTATTATAAATGATTACACGCAAAGAAATTCAAAATATGTGTGTAAGATCAACAGTCTAACTGGCTGAACATTTCTGGAATTTAGATAATTTATGAACCCTTACTTCTCAACTGTACAATAATAAAATTCAAAAAAATACACTTTGTCTTTCCAGCAATACTAGTCAGAGGGATTCTGTGCTCATGGTGTGAATGGCTGCCCACACTTCGGCAGCTCTTAGTTTCATGATTTTAAGTGTAGGACTTCCCATACTAGAAACAAGGTGTATGGAGAAAAACAAAAACTTACACACAGAGTTCACTTTGATCCTAAAAGCTGCCAGCCACAGTTAAAAACTGCAGGCTTACAAGTACCATTGTTCATGCTGAGGCAATGAAGCTCAGGGTCAGAAAAGCTTTCCCACACAGAAGAGAGGCTAAATACATGTTCACATCAGCGCTATCCAATTTGGAAGCCCTACTGTGGATTTCCAAAGCTATCAAGCCTCCAGCTGTATATCTTGGATATCCACTTGTGAGACACTAGAAATTTTCCTATTGCCTTTGGAGGGATTTTATTTACTACATCCAAGACATTGTTTCAATGTCTGTAGTCTTTGTATAAAGTAAAACTAAGGGTATAAACCTACAGTTTAGTTTTTGTACAAGGTAAGATGAGACAAACATCGTGAAACCTCAGCTCATTTTCATGAAACTTCTTCACACCACTTGTTATCACTGCCTCACTGCTGAACACTGACATTTCATGTCATAAATTCAAAGATACCAAGATTAAAAAACTGATTTGCACAAAAGAAATTTGAAATAACTTTATATACACAACAAAAAGCCTTCTGAAAGTACAAAAATAACATCTATATGCCAATTAGTTACCATGCTGTGAGAGTTCTTTCAGTGCCTACACATGCAAGACTGTAGCCTAGATTCAGAATAATTCTGTATCTGTAGAATGTATCAGAATATAAAAGAGATTAATATGTGACTAACTCTTCTTATTTTCAGAATTAATACGTATTCAAAATATCTCTGTAACCAATACTGCAATATTCCAGTCTCTGCATGTATATGTGTAGATAAGCAGCTTCCATCTCAGTCAATTTTAAAATCTCCTGTACGCTGGTAATCCACACTAAAAAGCTACGATGGCTCTAACGAATCTAGTTATACAATGCAATTCAAAATGTACAAAACTATAAAAAGGGAACATTTATTGCCATGCATGAAACTTAAGTATGTTCAACTAAGAATTGCATCAAATGCATTTCTGTTTAACAACAAAAAAACCACACAAAGCAATTTACATTAACACTCTTAACATTAGATCAGCAGAATTAGATCTGACTAAAAATACAAGGGTAAAACACATTCCTTTTGCTGGTGCCTATCAGATCTTCAAATCCATGGAAATAAAAACCCAGGAATCTTCATTTCCCACAGTCAAATCAGATCATGAAATCAACTGAAAAGAGAAGTGCATTAGTTTTCTCCTTTTTCTCAATGCAATCACATATAACGTCTCCTTTTGTATTAAAAGAGAGTGTATGAAAATACTCTCCTTTTGCTATCACAAAAAACCCAGAACATCCCTAGAGCAGACAAACTGATCTCTCATGCCTTTGCTGATAGCGACACAGGGCGCTATCTTGCTTGCATATGCACAAGACACAGACACAGCAATTCTAGATAGCCACGTATCAACATCTCCCAGTGAAGCCACAAGAAAATGAAGTTATTTTATTAACTACTGTAAGTGAACCTCACTTCTATGGTTCCGTTTTTAGTTTCAGGGCAAGCAAAAGTAATGAAACCTGACTTTCTTTTTACAAATTACAAAGCTCAGATTGGACAATAAACCCTCTATCATAAGTACAGTAGATATGGCCTGATCTTCAGCACAGCAAACTTAAAGGCAACATCATCATAACTGTACCACCAGTATAGAGAAAATCTGTCTATTCTCTTTTGCCTTAGCTGACAGGTCTGCTGAGCTTGTACAACCTCATGCATTGCTATCTATGAATGCATGTGGCCAGTGCCTGAATTAGAGTGCATCTTGTAGCCAAGGTTGCAATTTAAAGCAAATTCATAGCTTTCAGAGCACAAGTCATTAAAAACTATGATAACCTTAATTCTAGTTATGCTTACCAAAGAAATGAGTAACAGCAGTAGTGGCATGCTAAGAAAAGAATCTGAAACAATTCTTTAAAGAGGGAAACGTAAGGGGAAAAAACCCCTAACCAAATATCAAAGGTCTAGGTTTAGGTGAGTACTAAATTTTCAATATTATACAAAAACCTATTAAAATTGGTGTAAGAGGATGCCATGCCAAGCTGAAGGAAAAAAATACCACTCCAACCCAGAGCATTTTCTAAATTATAAGTCTTTACCTCTTTGACTGTTTTCTTAATGAAGTCTTTTCTGTCAGATAAATCATAACTAGGATATTTTTCATACACCTAAAGAAAAGTAAAAACAAAACAAAAGTATAAAACAAACATCAAATTACTTTCATTCAATAGGTGGTATGTGTAGAAGAAGCTCAAATGAAATTAGGGCAAAGAACCATGTTGCCTCTAGTACTACAAGTGCCAAAATGCCGTCTGTTAATTAGGGGAAGAGACAAACTTATTTTCCTGTCGTAATTTTGACCACATAAATATTTAAATGCATGTACTCTTTTATGTTTGTTCACTGACTAAACTGGTACTATAATTTTTCACATCAACAAACTGAAATGCCTAGCTTGTCATGTAAGAATGCTCCAATTTTTGTTTTAAATGCTCCCTTAAGTAGACAGATAGCCCTGCATTAGTGTAGGAAGACAAACAATTAATGAAAAATAAATAAGCCTTGGTATTTGATAATAAGTAAAACTGTGATCCTTTCAAGAGACTAACAGAAGAGTCAAAATATTTGAGTGCTATTGTACAACTACTCTGGTTAACAGGGTGGGAGAGGACCAAACAAACAAAAACTAGATGCCAGCACTGACAACCAATTCAGAGTATTTTATTTCAGCATACCAAATTTCAGGCTTCTAGAATGACTATAAATATGAAAAGACATTACACACAGTTTTCTCGTAACTTCTGGTTTAGTTTTCTCAAGACCACATCTTGAAATTATCAGGAAAACCAAACATGTGAGTGATCACTTTTCTCCACCTTTCCCTTTTCTGGCCACATGGTTCACACCTCTTCTGACAATTAATGGATTTCTTGCTGAATCGATTCAACTCACTAACTCAGCTGAGAACTATTCTGATAGATGCTGGTAAGAGACAGCTGAATGGACTTACAAAGAGAACATATCAAGAATGAGTGTGCAAGGTGAGCAGCAGAAATGTACAGAGCACAGGGGACAGCCCTCCCCTATAGACAGCAGCAAAGCTGCTGCACCATCTAAACATGTCAGATATTTGCACTGTCACACATGGCACTTGGTTTGGAGGTAATACTGCTACATCCTTGGTAGCTAATTTTAATATTTCCTTTTTAATGCTAATATCAATGTTGCATATCTAAAGACTAAAGCTCTCATTGTTATAGCTATCAGCAAGTAAATAAACCAATGCAAAACTATTTAGTTTCTGAACAACAGAGTACAAGCCACCATTTCTGAAATGGTGATCAAAGTCAGCTCACAAACAATCCACCACCTATAAAGAGACTGCAAAATTGTACTGACCTCCTTGCAGATTTGTTTCATTGTAACCTCCTCCAAATTTGCATTGGCCAACAAATTCTTGACAGTTTCCTTCAGTTCTTCATCGGTGGGTGGTTTCTTCAGTTTTTTAATTAAAGGTTCATCATCTGAACTATCCTCAGACTCGCTTTCTAAATATGAAGAACAAATTGGATTGTAATAAGTTTTCAGTTTGTCTGTTTTCCTCCTTAAAAACAGAAGCCATCAGAACTTTCAACAAACATCCAATCCAGATATTTTTCTTTAAAATAGACATCTTGCTAGACTATCCATTTAAAAACAAAGCTAATGCCATCAGTACTACATTTATTTATGAATTTGTGTAATTATTGATGAACCTTCAATTTACAAAGCAACAAGAACTCTAAAAAGTATGGGACTAATTTAATCTATCAAACTAATGAAAAAGACTTATTACAACAACTCTAATTCAGGTATTATGGCCCTAAGAAAATAAAAAGTAATTAATTCCTTTAAAAAGGAGTTTCTATTTTTTTTTTCCCCTAGCTGTGTCACACACACTCTTGTAATTTTGCAAACTTACTATCAGAAAGCGCCATGAGAAGAGAACAAATAGGGAGAACTTTGTAAACGGAGTTAAGTGAAGGGGCACAGGACACTCCTACAATCTTTTCCAGCAGAAAATGAATTAGACTGAATGATTGCAACATCCATTCAGTTCCTCTACTGCCAATAAGACAAAATTCAAAGCAGATGCCAAACGAACTAGACAATGACCTTACAGAATTACCTATTTAACATTTTGATTTTTGCACTGCAAACATAAACTGGAAACAGAAATGCAGGAGGAGTAAATAAGAAATTACAGATATATTATGTAACTTACAACAAAAACACATATATAACATTTGTGTGTGTATATATATATATATATATATGCGCTAATGACAAAATAAGGTGTACACACAACACAGCCACATTTAGAATACTGAGTTCAGCACAGGCCAGTTACTCTGCTGAGAAATAAGGCTATGAAAGAAATCTAGTGTAATTCTGTGCCCAAGAGTTTACCTGCTCCTTGTAGCAAAGCACTGACAAGAAGGGTAACTAATCTGACCTTATGCTTGTGCTGTAGCATGCACACACCAGTGCCAGCATTAAAGGAAGTTCTTTTGCAGTATGGATATAAAATGCATTAGTAACTCAGACTACAACTGTGACAGACCTGGCTGCTATCGCAGAGTGTCAGAGAATTTAGGGTGGAAAGGACCTCTGGAGATCATCTGGTACCAAAGCTGCTACTTGGAACAGGGCCAACATGGAGCTGGTTACTTGGGCCTCTGCCAGGCTGATGTCCAAACATCTCCACCAATGAGGATTCCACTGCTCCTCCAGGCCCCATTTCTGTGACCACCCACATGGTGAAGTTTCTTCCCTAACAAATAACTACAGTGTCCCTGGTGGCAACTTGTGCTTGTTGCCTCCCATCGTCTCCCTGTGCACCTCCAAGCAGAGCCTGGCCCTGCCTTCCCCATACTGTTCCATTTGGGAGTTGCAGCCTGCAGGATGATCCCCCTTCATTTGTCTCTTCTGCAGGCTGAACGAGCCCAGCTTTCTCTGCCTTCCCTCCTCCACCCTGTGCTCCAGCCCCCTCACCCATCTTGGTGCCCCTCCACTGGACTTGCTCCATGATGCCCATGCTTGCCTTGCTCCAGGGAGCTCACAGCTGGACCCTGCTGCCAAGGCCAGCTCACAGGTGCAGAACAGGGTGCCAGTCACTTCCCTGAGCCACCAGCCCCACACTTGCTGCAAGAGCCCTGAGCACTGTCAGTGTTCCTTATCAGGAGTGCCCATTGCTGAATGGCCTCCGTGAGCTGTCTGCAAGAACCATCTGCCCCTGCCCAGGCCCTTTTTGGCAAATGTGCTTGGCAAGACAACCCTGTCCCCGCCCTTACTACTGCAATCTTTACAGAGTTAATAAGAAACTCAGCGTCTGTACCTTCATGCACATCCTGAGATATGAGAAAACCTATTGCAAAAGGATGCATTGAGAAAATCATTTCTATGTTAAAAAAAACTTGTATCAAGCTGCTGAACCAAAGACACACACGGGATACACATCACTGGATCAATAACAATATTTGCATAAAGCCACTGCAGAGGCCCAAACAGAACTTCTCCAATTGTTCTTCCAGCAAAATGGAGAACTTTTCCGTTTATATGCAAATAAAAACTATACTCATGCTCAGCAGCATGACAGCAGGAAATACGTGAAATATATCCAAATCAACACCTTTTTTCATTAAATACTGTTTCAAGGAAAGAAACATCAAGTAGCAAACCAACAATTTACCAAATTCCATTTTCTTTCACAACAAGGTGCAAAGCTTGCTTTCTAATAAGCATGCCAGTTAAGCTGCAAGGCAATGCATGATGAAAGATTTAAAGCATTTACCTTTTCTAGAACTGTTCTGGTTTTTCTTAGTAGTGCTGCTGTCTGCCTTCTTGACATTTGCACCCTTCACAGGCTTTTTGGTTTTAGAAGTCGTCTTCTTAGATTTTTCTCTTTTAGATGCTTTTCTAGGGGGCTACAAAAAGAAAATCAGAAAATTAATGAGTATTATTTGAACAGGACATACCTCTTTTCCATAAAGGAAAATTTTCCGCTCCGAGGACAATTTACTCCAAACGCTCCATGCCTAAGTTTCCAACAGAGCTGGTGCAGCAAAATAGATACACTGCCTACATCCTTCTAACTCTAGTATACCAAAAGCTGTCATAAACCTAACTCTCTTAAAAAATGCTGCAATCTTAAAGCTGTACAAACAGATATCTTCCATTTCATCAGGTCCTGTTTTCAAACTAATTTGACAAACCAGTGCTTTTGTAATAATTAAGCTTTTATTCCATGCACCTAAACTTCAGTTTCTGAAGACTTCAGTCCACTCAGCCATTGCAGACACCTAACTGCTACCTTTTGAAAGAAGTCAAAGATGACCCAGCTAGACAAATGGAGTTTACTCTTAGGCCTTTTTGTTTGTCAGAATTTTGTTTGTTTGAAGGGTTTTAGATTTTTGTGGTTTTTTAATAACTGAGTTCTTAGAAACATGACAACAACTGCCTCTGAAATAGATATTCCTCTCCTCACAGTAGAAAGCCTGTTTTCCTGAAGAAATTAACACATATGTCAACTTGTAATATTTCAGCCCTCCTTCAATTCGTCGTTAGTAAGTAAAGAAAAAGGCACAGTAAGAATTAAGGTTGTTTCATGGAGGAAATTCATAGGAATTTCCTTGAACCATCTTTTACATTAAACCCAGCACCTATCAAAATGACCCCAACAAAACAAACTGTTAAGTTACATTAATTGCCTTTCAACAAAAGATTACTACTATTTCCTACAGCTCAGGCTATCAACCTAACAGCCTGACACACTTTCATTTCAACAGACAGAATGTAACCCAAGTAAACAGTGGCCTTATATTACAGCCAAGGATTCCACTGCTTCCATAAGGAACTTTCTTGGACACCAGCAGTTTGACTTTGTTGCAGGGGTCTGATATGGCAGAATGGTTTTAAACTGAAGGAGGATTGATTTAGAGGAGAAATAAGGAAGAACTTCTTCTACAATAAGGGTGGTGAAACACTGAAATAGGTTGCCCAGAGAGGCTGTGAATACCCATCCCTGGAAACATTCCAGGCCAGGCTGAATGAGGCAACCTGATCCAGCTAATGTCCCTGCTCATTGCAGAAGGACTGGACCAGATGACTTTTAAAAGGTTTCTTCCAAACCAAACTATTCCATTATTTGATGCTTCTTGCCTAGTATGCAAAAAGTTTAAGAAAACACAAAATACAATGAGATTCAGACACTTCAGAGATTGCAGGGATCTTTCCAAGGCTGCCTACTATGTTGCTTAATTTAAGACACAAAACCAGAAAAGAGAGTTTAAGATAGAAAACCCAGGAGGAATATGGAAACAAGATCCCAAACCAATGCAGCCAGGTAGATCAGTGACTCCTACTGAACTCAAAGCTAAATCCTAGGTATCAAACACTGCATTATGAAATTACAATAAAATCATCACAAGATGATATAAGAAATATAATCAATTACATTAGCAATCCTGGCTGCCCCAAAATGACACATAGGAAATGGTTTTATAAGGTGCATACATACACCCAAGAACCAGAACTTTTGCCTTTTGTCTAAATGATTCTCTAAATTTAACACACTAAGAATTTAAGAAAACTTTTTATAAATTGCAAATGTGCTTCCTTTTCTTTCAGTTAAACATCACTTACTCCCCAACTCTGTATTCCAAGAGTTACCAATCCATAGCAATGACATAATGTTGAAAAACAAACAAAACAACTCATTACCTCATCTTCACTTTCTTTTTCTTCTGAAGACTCATCCTTTTCCTTCTTTTCATCTTCTTCACTACTGGATTCATCTGACAAGATCTCTGGGTACTTGGTACGTTTTGCTTTTCTTGTCGTTCCAGAGCTAGTGCGCTCTTTTTTGCCACCTTTGCTTTGTGGTTTTTTGGACTTTGGCAATGGCTGAGAGACAAGAGATGTGTGTATTCCAAGTAGGAATACAAAAGCGTATTTTAAAAAGAAAAATTCTTTCCAATCACATCAAAGAATAGTAAACAACTATAGAGGTGTCTTAACACAACCCAGGACTATTTTATGTACACTTAAGTCATAGTATTTTGCAGCAAGCAAATATTCACTATTGAGACAGAGTTGAGCAAAATGAAATTTCAGTTCTAAGCTAAGTGCACCCCTTCCCTAACCAAACAAATCTTCAAAGACTGGGTGTTAGAGAAGGGAAGCAAGAAAAGTTACTTCTAGATTGTTCTGTTACCTACCAATCCATAAAACAAGCCTTTTCTTCTGGTAACAACTCAGAAGACAAAGGTAAGAATTTTGTTACATCTTATGCAAACCTGCATTTTGCCCTAACACTGTACCTGGAAAAGCAGCATGCCAGACCCCTTATTCACATCACTTCCCAGGGTTTGCTGGGAATAGATTTAGTTTCCTGCGCAACAGTGCAACTATTTTAGTATTACTTTTAGATTAAAAATTGGAAGTCCAAGAAGATTAACAACAGAGTTTAGCAGTCTTGGCAGTGGTACCCCGAATCTACTGCACTGATTTTGTACTCTGCAACAAATTCCATTTGGTGACATCCAAATGTGATAACAATACATTTGCCAAATACAGCAAACATAGGTAACATCTGAAGCTTGATTTTCCTGTCCTTTCATGTATTTATTCTCCTCCACCCACAAAGCAGAGGCTAATTGGTACTTGGGACCGGATATTCTAATTAGCTCCATGTGTTGAACTCACACTTCTGTGCACTATCAGTTATGTAATGGGTACACCCACATGTAAACAGAAATTCCGTTTAAGCCCTCACCCCATTATGGATGCCTGCAGCAGTAGAACTACTTTCTTTCAAGAAGTCATTCCTACTTCATTAAGTTAGAATAGAAATTGTATTATCACTGGAAACAAGCATACAATGAGCAATAGAGAACAGATGCATTTTCCATCAGAACAGAGCTATAAAAGCAAGCGTAACACCTGCATCTCACCTTGCCCGAAGATTTTGGATGCATAAGGAAGTTTAATATTCTGGTTACAAGCTCACTATTGACTCCTGATCTTTCCAAGTCAAGAACTTCACAGATGCTTTTCAACATTGCATTTCTAAATCTGTAGGCAGAAAAAAAAAAAAAAAAGAAAAAAAAAAAAAAGAGATTCAGTATCACATACTAAACAATTGACATCTGACTGCTAGAAGCTGCTGTCTGGTTTGTGTCTGCACCTGGCAATATATATACACAGTCAACTACACTTCCAGTCGTATCTAAGGTTAAGCAAAGAATCACCACTATGTTACATAAAGCAAAATAAAACAGAATTCCCCAAACCATATGTCTGCATAACAGGATATTTTAAAAAAGTTAAGGAATCATAGTAAAAAAAGTATTAAGTAAGACCTTTGTTCATCTTGTTCAATGATGTTAAAATATGACATGCAAGGGTAAAGACTGGGCAGAAATCAACCACAGAGGCAAAACAAATTAAGAAACCAATCAACAGTTTGTGTTCCACACAGCTACAAAGAGCAGCAGAAGCTACCACAGTAAGGCAAGCACAAAGGGCTCTGCACTTTCATATGCAACCCAAAGCAACCAGGTTTCAGAATATTTGCTGCTAGCTGTTGTTTCATATGGAAAATATAAAAAAAATTTGCGCAAAATTACTTTATTTTGCAGCCTTTTTTTTGGTAAGGGGAAGTAGCCAATTAAACCTTTGGGAAACAAACAGTCAAAACTACTGTTGGGAGATAGAGTTTGTCTTGTAGATTCCCACGTATTTGACAAACCACACTCCTGTAAAACTGCAAATCTGAAGAAAAAAAAATTTGGACATTCCAGATTCTGGAAGCCTTTCCACTATCAGCAAACAGGCACTAAAAAAACTCCCAAGTTTTAGAATATATTGTGTAGATGTTATTAGTTCTTTCATTTGTTACAACTAGCTACACAAATATGCAAGAGCATTTTAAACCCTTTCAAGTTGCAGCATCTTCTCCTGTTGATGGAAAAGCAACTTATGAAGGGAGCCAGTAAAAATGAAAAACAAAAGAAAAAATTCTGAGACTAGTTCCTACAGCAATTCTTGTATGTTTAATATATAATAAGCAGAAATGGCTTTGATTCTGAAGGAGGAAGGTTTTGAGGCATAGAAGGATGCAGGTTTGCACCATGAATGAAGTTACAATGTGCTCACAACACTATGCTTGCCATGGGAAATAATGCTTTCCTCTCACTTGGCAGAACAATCTGCTAGTTAGTATGCAATAGTTAAAGTCAGGAATGTAGGAATTGTGAATAAAGTATTCACAATATAACTCTTAATACATTTTAAGCTGTCTTAAGAGACCAGTTTGTGTGATTAAAATGAACTCAGAAAAAAATTACAGAGCTCTACTAAACAGCCACCTGGCTTATAGTACAACTTTAACCTCAAGTAAAACTGTGAAAGAAAAAAAAGAAAAAAAACGCATAGCATGCATCAAGCCATGTTATCAAGAGACCATTACTTTTTTAACATTTCTTCCTTCTTTTTATATTGGTCACTTCCTTTTTCAAATGGAAACCCACTGAACTGACCCACATTCTTCTTTAGGGATGCAACCTGAAACAGAGCACACAGATTACTTTTCATTGCAAGCAGTTTAACAGATTTCATCAAATTACATTTGTTAACCTTTCATAGAAGAAAAATATGTTCTAGAATTTTGTTTTCTGTTGATATAGCTACACCTTTTAAATCATAACCTACATGGATTATGCCTTTACTTATCTCATGACAGACAAACTAAAACAATTAAGTTCAACTTCTTGTGACTGTGGTACTTTTAATAACTTACTGGACAAAGCCACCTGCCATTTCAAGCTCATTTAGAATGTACTGCATGACGATTTACACGTTTGCAAAACTACAACATTATGAAGCTTGTTGCATGCCTTGTATCACGTCATTTGTTACAAAATAGGGAATTTTATTTTTTATTCTACAATCTGCTGAAGTAGATTTGCTTTACTAGCTATTCTGAAGTCTTACATAGGACCATGACGATATTTTTGAACCTCTTATTAGTAGGACCAATTTTTGCACTTACGTACCACCCAATCTACAACTTCTACCATTACATCTGATGTCTGATCTGGGTTGAACTTCCACTGCAACAGCCCTTAAAACGGGAAAATTGCTCCCATCAAGATCACAAGTGTATTTAAGTTTTGTTTTCACTTCATTTCCTTTTGCAAAAAAGAAAAAGTTGTTAAAAAGCAACCCCAGATCTCTCTATCCTCTGAGACTTTTATAACACTATCAATAATAATAATTTCAACTACCTTTCAATACTTCTAAAAATTTTGTTTCTGCTGTTTCTCCACTAGTTTATAATTTTATCAAAGCTGAGCTCCTTTTCCAAAGAGCTTTGTCCAGCAGCTTAAGAAAATTTGCAGGTGATAATGGTATGTTTTATTAAAAGTGTTAATTACAACTAAAAGCACATACAAATACGTGCATACAAAAAAAGATCTGACCTTCACTATATTAAACAGCATTCTGAGTTCCCAAAAACTCTGATTTAATACAGTTTTGACTGAAACCATACTGATATATTCTTTTTCTGAATACTTGTGGCAAAAGATAATTCTCTGCCATTTAAACAAACATTAAATCGGAAACAGTGGTCTGAGAATTAAGAGCTAGCACACATCTGTACTAGTAATATTCAATTTCTGGTTTCTGTGCTAGCTGTTCAAGTCTCTAAAATACCCAAAGATATTTTAAAAAGTTCCAATAATTATAGCACACTTAAATCTGCCTCAACTTCACATTTTCAGAATAAATTTTAGGCACAATCAGTGATACACAAACCACTTCAAGAAAGATTTGCCATTATAAGTGTCATCCTTAAATACAAAATGGACAATATTTTAATTATCTTAAAAAATTGTTAAATATAAAATCTTAATAGTGATTTTTATCACCTTTATCTTTCTACTGCTTAGTACAAAGAGAAAAATAGCAGATAAGCAGCAATGTATTAACACATGGAGTATTTTGAGTATCATCTGCATGTCAGCAGCTTTTAGCATGTGAACCATAAATTATTTCCAACTCATCCTTGTAAGGTAATCCACCATTCCCCCATTAAAAAAAAAAAATCTACATTCAAGAGACTTTTGATTTAGTACACCCTGCCATAGGATTTTTATAGGAAGAGATTTTGTAGGAGTTAAAAGGAGGAGACTTACTTAACTGGTCCTGCAAATACCCATTTCCTAAGTAGCTTGAAATAAATAACACTTAAGAAATAGATCAATACGTGCAAGCGTAAAAAACTGTACTACAAACATTTTCACTATACATGAGAACCAATGGATATACAAGATGGAAATTCTTACAGTGCCTGGCCTGTTGTAGAGGAGTTTGTGCAGATTCCTAAGTTCATCTGTCTTCTTTTTACTCAGAAAGAACTGTATCCTCTCAATTTCACAGAGTTTTTGTCCTTTTCCTGAAACAATTAAAATCATTTATGCTATTTTATCACATTCCATATTTACCTGTATGTTTATAACTTAAAGTTTCTACTGTTTTGTTTTTGGTTGTTTTGTTTTTTTTTAAGCAAAGGAGTTACTTAAAAACAGCATTAGACATTATAATAGGTCAAATATTAAGCAGGCTTTTTCCTATCAGTTAGGCATCCTGACAGGCTCTCTACCTGTCTTACTTGACACTACCTAGATCAGGGTACTAGGATTTGGCATTTCTTTGTATTCTGGCTGCTCCTGCCTTTGACAGTAGTGGTGAGATACCAAAGATCCCATTCCAAGTAAGTTCAAATATCACATAACTTTTACAGTTTAAACTGATGCTACAGAATAAAAGATAGTTTTCATATAATAGCTTTATTGTTTTAAAAAGGATCATGACTCATAAACTAGGTCTCACCTACAACAAATTAGTAATTTCATCTTCTTAGAGTTTTCATTATCATTCCTAACAGTCACAATTCATATGTGAGAAGTCAAGCTTACCCGGTGTAATTGTAAAAGGTTCCTTCTGCAGTGAGGACACTTGCATGGTCAGTCGGTCAACCTTCTTCTTCTCCCTTTTTCCTTCAACAATTAGACTCTTCTCTGCAAAAGAAAGCTTCCTTAAACACCATATTCTTCATTGCAGATCTGACTGAAGTAACAGGCAACACATCACTGACTCTTTGAAACAGCAAATCAAAACCAGATGATGATATAATCAGTACTAAGACACTTTCAGACCTTCGGCTAATAAGCCAATGTGATTCTATGGAGCTGCACGTACATAACTAAAAGTCTCTCTAGTTTTTTACCACAATCCTGTATCCAAGGCAACCCTGAAGACAAGACTAAAGGTAACTTTACATTACCTTTACACATTTCCTAAAGGTAACTTTAGGAAGTTACCACCATGAAACTGCAGGACTACATGTTTTCAGAAACCCATCCTTCTCTCCTTTCACTGGCTTTTTTCAGGTATGAAACTGACCCTGTTTATACATTCTCCTTGGATGCTGCAGTCCGTAGGCACACAGCTCCACACAAAGCACTCTGAAGAAGAATACTACCACCAGATGGGCAAAAGAAGCGTCAGGGATGCCTGCACATAAATTTGTTTCCCACTACTGGACTGGAGAAACCACACATTTCAGCAGGAGAGGCAGAAGCACAAGTGCAGTGGGACGTACTACACATGCCAGGGTACACAGAGAAGCACCCTGCAGGGCACAGTAACAAGGGCCACAAATACAACAAGAGTATTATTCCCAGTAATTCTGTTAGTGCTTACTAATGAATACCTTTAGATTGTTTTACGTACACCCTGCACATCACTCATTTAATGATACCACTCCAAAGAAAAAGCTAAAGCTTCACCTAAACAGTTCATACTAAAATACTTGACCTCAAGTAACACTATCCTAAGAGCTAAACAGATGGTCTGTCCTGGCTTTAACATAGTAGCTTCAAAACCTGTATGAACATAATCAAAACCAGAGCAAAAATAATTTTTTTCTGAAAATCCAATGCTAATTCCGCTGTTTTCCAAACATAAGCATAATCTGTCTTATTTCTACTACCTTTCCTAAAGATAAACTTCATCTCTTCCAAGGATGCAAGAGTATCAATGACTTGGTTTTCACTGTGCCACATTACAGCTCTGCTTCCATGAACGCTTTCCTTTTGAAAACAGATGCCTGGAGAGCTCACAATAGAAATTAACATTCTTGCACAGTAGTTCCTTCATCTTGATTTGTTCTCCTTGACTACCTTCAATTACACACCACTACAAGACACTTGCCTTGCTTGCTCATCCTATCATATTGCTGTAATTTTTTATTACCAAAATTAGTCTAAAGGAATTTCCGCTGACCCAATATAATTACATTTGGCTACCCAGAAAATTAATTCACTGTAGTTAAGCAAAGACATCCCTATTGTTTCCAAAACTACTGCACACTTGGAAGTTTCTCTTTTGCAAACACAGACCACTTCAGAGTGTTACTGGCAAAAAATAATTTGATAAGGGACACTACCTACTATAATCATTGAAAAATTTATACATCAACAATTAAATCCCTAGTACAGAAGTCCAGGATGCTGGCAATTCCTTAAATCTTTTCTGAGACAAATCAGCACCACTGTTTTTAGCACTGCCTGTTACAGACTACTGGGAAGCTATTATGACCCAGGAGACAGAAGCACCATGGAATCTCCTCAGTGATTGTACAATTAGCCAAAAGCACAGGAGACTGCATTCAATAGCTTGGCATTCATTAAAGAACAACTTATTAAATGGAAAAAAAAGTACCCTTTTTCTTCTTCTTCTTCCTCCTCCTCCTCTTCTTCATCTTCATCACTTTCCTCAGTTTTGTTTTCAGTTTCAGGTTGTTTCTCATCTGTTTTTTCTGATGACATTGTATCTTCTTTTGATGAATCAACAGAAGACATGGTGTATGCTTCTGTAGAAAGAGTCAGGGGAAACCATCATCAATAGAACAACATCCATAAAAACCACTGGAATCTTGCTTTTAAAAATTATCTCCTTGTGCAGCAGAAGCAGTACTGTGCTGGTACTGTGATTGTTCACATTCTCCAATCACTAAGGTGTCTGGCGTACACACAGTACAACTTTTCAGAAGAAGTTGTCATCCATTCTGCAATTAGTCTGGTTAAGAACACTCTAAAAGGTTATAAATTCTATTCACACACAAGTCTTCAAGCTGCTTTTGCGAACCATTCAGAACACCCACTCAAAGCAGCTGATACTGTTATCTATTAAAAACTGCAGTGTTTTAAGACATCACTATTTTACTGCACCCTCCTATAAACTTAATACTTGATCATGGTTAACTATGCATACAAGTTTCCTAGTAACTTAAACAAGTTACTTATTTAGATGGGAAATAGGAACAGAAACATTAAAAAAAAAAAAAAGGCTGCAAGCAATTCAGGAAAGAATTAACACTGCTTTCATAACCCAGACAGCTGCTGGACCTTTAGGCATTAAAATACCTGGTTTTAGTTTTCAGATCTACAACACAAAAAGAATAAATGCTTCATACTTTGCATATTCAAGAGTGTTTTCTTAACATCTGAAGTAGCCGATATGTAGACTTTAAAACTACAATATCTTAGTTATACATGTACCATTTCCCTACTAACAGAAAATATCTATCCAATAGAGCAAGATAACCATATATTTAATTTTTCAAAATTCTAGCTTTAAAAAATTGTCACCGTTTAGATCTGGAACAGAACTTCACACAATTAACCATTTTCTTTTTGCAATACCAGAGCCAGTATTATTTGCAAGAGATCAGGTGCAATAAGTAACATTTAAATCTGCTGCTTACGTGCAGCATTAGTAGGTACCAGAGATCAGTCGTGTGCCAAATGACAGAAAACACGAGTTAATATTTATTACCAATAGCAGGGGGAAAAGTAACGTTTCCTGGCTAAATTATCAGGAAGAAACATATCCTTCAGGGTATTACTACCAGTATTTCATTTGTAGTAAGCAGTGCGGCATTTTCATTTTACTTGAAGGCATGAGTAAAAGCAAGAGAAGCACTACAAACTCTTTTCTTCCCCTTTCAATGGGAACAGAAGGGGGGGAAAGTTAAGAGACTTCTTAGCTTTCCACCACCTGGGTACGGGACGACGTTTTGCTTCGGGAAAAAGGGTTCCGGGATCCACCTTTACCGGGAGGGTCTCCCGCCCTGGGCTGGGGCTTTTCACCCGGGAACTTTATACCTATCCCCCCTTCCCGATTTGTACGCTGGATACCGGGGCGAACGAACGGCGATGCGCAGCGCTCGGCGGCGCCGGCGGCCAAGGCGCCATCGCCTCCCCGCTCCAGGCGGGCTCAGGAGCGCTCGGCCCGCTCCCGCCGCAGGACACGGCGGAGCCAGGGAACACCTCGGGCAGGGGCCGGGGGGAGGCAGCGCCGGTGACAAGCGCCCCGCACACGGCGCGTCCCCGGGGCGGGACGGGAGCCCGGCGGCGCGGCGGCCGCGTTTCGTTTCTCCTCGTCACAGTCCGTCCCCGCTCGGCCCGGGCGCGGCGAGGCGGGACCGCTCTCGGGCGCCGTTACGGCCATGGCGGCAGGACCCACCTCGGCACGAGCCTCGGCTCCCTCCTCAGGCGCGGCGGCGGCAGCAGCTGAAGGCGGCAGTTGCTGCTGGACGAGGCGGGTCCGGGCGCAGCGACACACACACGCCCCGCCGCGGTGCAGCCCTACAGGCGGCAGCCACTCTTGCCCTCTCCCTCTTCTTCTCCCTCTTCCCTCCCTCCCGGAATCAACAAGGTTTTCAAAATGGCGGGTTCTCGGGCGGCGAGGAGGAAGCGGGAAGGCGGCGGCCAATCAGCGCCCGCGTTCCCGCCGGCGCGGGGAGGGCAGGGGAGGGTGCGCATTACGCCCGCCCGCCAGCAGTGACGTCAGGCCGCGCGCGGCGGCGAGCGCGCGCTCCCGCTGAGGGGAGGGGTGCAGGGGGTGCGTTTTGCCTGTTAAACCCAGCACCGTCTGTAATTGTAGCGTTTGTTTTTTTTTTAAAGCTTTAAAATCAGGAATCCGTACCTCTTATCCTGCCTAAATTGGGCGGTGATTAATATATGCTCCCCAGACTTTCCTTTTGTACACAGTAGTGTTTCCCAATACCTCTGGCACAGGTTGCCCAGAGAAGTTGTGAATGCTCCATCCCTGGAAGCGTTCAAGGCCAGGTTGGATGGGGCTCTGAGCAACCTGAGCTAGTGGAAGATGTCCCTGCCCGCATCAAGTAGCTTGGGGCTAGATGTTCTCTAAGGTCCCTTCTAACCCAATCCGTTCTACGTTTTTCAGTATTTAGTAGTGTTAGGAATGTAATTAGTAATTCGTGGAAATAAACGCTGTACAAAATATTAAGTGTATAAAATAAACTGTGAAGGGGGGGGGGAAGAATCCCTTTTTCCTTCAGGTTGGGAATTCTTGGCCAGATGACCCACGGCAGATGGATATCACGGCATTTGCATCCAAAGAGGACTCCAGCTGCACCAAAGATGAGCATTCAACAGCACCTACGCCCAAAGACTGCCAGGTGCTGATGGCCCAGACGAGATTCCTATCTGAGGGGGGGGCCAGGATCATCATCACCCTGAATCTGAATGCCAGATTCCGGGAACCAGGGAAGTGCATCGTTCCATGCCCAGACGAAGGCTTTGTGCAGCCCAAGCCAGAGAAAGATACCAACATGAATATGAAGAACTCCGAAAGAAACAAAGACTTTCTGCCGCGGGCGAAATAAACTGTATAAGAACTGCTACCTCGAAGCAGTTGGTGTGGACGGGGAGGTCAAGGCACCAGTGAGGGGGTGCTTTCCTCTCGTTCACCCGTATCATCGACCGGGGGTGATACGCTGTCCGTTTTTGGTGGTGGCTATCGGACTGTTATTACGGTCGCGAAATAAATTTTATTTTTCATATTTTTATTAAAATTGGCTGACTCGCAATTTTCATTTATAACACCCGAGTTCAGCCGAAGAGCCGGAAATAGCCGACTTGAACCGACAAGAACCGAGTGGAGCCGAACAGCCGGAAATAGCCGAGTGGAGCCGAACAGCCGAAACAAGCCGAGTTTCGACCAAGAGCCGAAGCCGACCGTCGCGGCGTGGCCATGGCTTAATCGCGTAACCAGACGGACTAAGGAAAGCCAGCAGGCGTAGCACGTTTCTCTTTGGTAAGGAGTCTGTCACAAGCGGAGGCGCTGTTGGAGCGGGGCAGCAGCGCCGGGTGGGAGCTGTGGGGAAGATGGCGGCCGCGGCGGCGGCGGCTCCTGCCGGGGCCAGGCTGTTTTAGGGGAAGGGTTTGCCTCAGCTTCCTTTCGCACGGAACTGCTGAGTAGAGCCGTGCGGAGCCGAGCGCGGCTGTGCCGGGCCGGCGGGCGGGAGAGGCGCCCCGGGCCCGGTGCCGGCCCCGCCGGGCACGGGGAGCGGGCGGGGGGGGGGGGTCCCGGGGACCACAGACGGATCGGGAGGAACGAAGCACCTCGCTGGATCCAGGGAAAAGGTAAGAGACCTGTTAACAGAAAATCTGTGGCTCGGGTCTCCACACGATTAATAAGTTAACAAGGATTAAACCAGTGGTGGTGGTTGTCTGGTTTAATTGCGTGTACTAACTAACTCAGACAAAAGCGGATTGAAAAGGGGAGGAAGTGGGCTTTTGACATGGGTTTAAAGAAAAGTAAGATACAAGAAAAATCTCGGGACAACGGGAAGTCGAACCTCCCCGACATCCCAAGGTATAGCCCTTTGGGATGAATGTTGGAGCACTGGGAAGAGTGCCCC